CTTTTGGTCTGGTGATCTGATGTCGCTGCACAATCCTTTAGTTCAGATGTCACGCGTATGATTTCAGAACAAAGTTTACACCACCCAGTTCAATTACCATGTTCTACGGGTATTCAACATCTTTTCAGTGTTTCCATCAATAAAGGGGTACTTAATTATTATCAAAAATGATAGTGAATCATTTTAATAAATGTTTTGATTTATGATTATAATTTGAGGCTATTTGAGTCAAAGAAAAGCAAATTAATGGAAAAATGTCTTAGTACAGCTGGCTTAACAATCTCAGAGCCATTTTTGTTTTGTTTTGTGCAACTTCGGTTTTTGAGGAACAACCTTTTAGATGTTCGTATATTTATTAAGTAGACCAAATCAGGAATCTTAATTTGTAAGTAGAAGTAGCTGATTCAAAATAGTTTTTCTTTGTCTATCGTATGCTTTTATTACTGACTGAAAAAAAAAAAGAAAAGAAAAATAACATTTATTAGATTTAGTTTCGAAATTAAGTGTCAATATCTGAATGAGTTTTTCAAACTGCTAGTTTGCCACTTGCATTTTAAATGCCTTTGTCATTGCTTTCTCCACTTGGGAAAAATATCCTAAAATGCTGGATAATTAATTTCCTTTGTATTTCAGAGGAAAAATCGGAGGTAAGGAAGATACATGGCACCTGAGGGAAGCTGGTGCCTCTATCAAACTTTGCAGTGGAGCGGCACAACAATCTGTGCCATTTACATGTAGATGCTTATTGTGGAACCCCAGGACTCTCTCCCCACCCAATGCCAGTGATGAGATATTGGTTAGCAGTGTCATTGAACTATCTCATGATGGCCCACCAGATCTGGATTACAGGGAAAGTGTTGAAGGAATAAGTTTTATTGTATCTTTGCTGCACAGTGCCCCATATTTGGAGGGGTATAAGGTGGTTATCAAGCAGCTGACTGACCGAGAGAATAATGAATGGTTAGAATTGAAGACAGAGAATACTTGGCATGGATCAGGTAACGTTATGTTTTAATTAAATGCAGGTGTGAATAACTCAATGAATGATATTCCCAGGCTCCCTCTTTCACTGGCATCAATGTCAGTATCTGAGCAATTGTGCATCTCCCCCTCTCCTAGCCCAAAATTAGACCTACCTTGTCACCCGAACTCGTCAGTTGACTTAATTCTTGGCTCGAGGGAGAAGGATTAGGTGTTCATTGACTTCGATACTGACATTGATCCGTGCAATGCATTATCTGCTGCACTCGTAATGTCGAAATAGACTCCTTGCCACTTTATATGTATTGCAAATCCAATGGAGTTTTTAGAACTTTTTTTTCGTCTCTTCTATACCCTATTGGGTAATGTATACCTGAGGGCTATTTTAAGGGCCTTTTTACATGAAGGTGGGGGATCCCAGGTAGGTGAGGTAACCCGCCTAACCGTAGTCGAAAAATAAAACACGTTTACATACAATCTAACAACCCCGGGGTACTGGGGTGAGATTTCTTGAGGTTGTTGTTGCGCTTGCAATTAGGGATTTTGAGCATAGGCGTTCCAAGCTCACATGTCGAAAAGACGAAAGATTAATTCTCGGACACGTATGAATTTATTCATGAAAGCGTCACGTGTTGTGTTACACGATATTAGGTTGCGTCGATTTACAACGCTAAATTTTCCGAAATGGGAACATTTTACATTCCTTGTGTGTCCGTTACGTTTTCTGGTGATTTCTGCCATGAAACGGCTAGGAAATGTTCGAAGTTTTAAAAAATGCATGTTTCGTAAACGTGATCAAGATAGAATAAGAAATTATATGGACAGGCTGGTTACCCCACTCGGGGGCCAACCACCTCACCTACCTGGGGTTCCCCACCTCCTAGTAAACAGGCCCCAAATCTGTTCCATACCCTCTTGAGAAGTGTATACCTGAGGGTTAATTTTTAATCTCTTCTATACCCTCCCGGGTGGTGTATACTTGAGGGTTAATTTTTAATCTCGTCTATTACCTTTTGGGCAGTATGTATTTAAGAGGTTACTTTTAATATCTTCTATACCCTCCTGGATAGTGTATACCCGAGGGTTCTTTTTAATTTCTTCTATACCGACTTGGTTAGTGTACACCTGAGGGCTATTTTTTATCTCTTCCATACTTTCCAGAATAGTGTATACCTGAGGGTTACTTTTAATCTCTTCTACACCCTATTGGGTAGTGTATACCTGAAGATTACTTTTAATCTGTCCTTTACCTTCTTGGGTAGTGTATACCTCAGGGTTATTATTAATCTCTTCTTTACTCTCTTGGGTAGTGTATATCTGAGGGTTATTTTTAATCTCTTGCATACCCTCCTGGGTAGTGTTCACTTTAGGGTTACTTTTAATCTCTTCTACACCCTCTTGGGGTAGTGTACACCTGAAGATTACTTTTAATCTGTCCTTTACCTTCTTGGGTAATGTATACCTCAGGGTTATTATTAATCTCTTCTTTGCTCTCTTGGGTAGTGTATACCTGAGGGTTTTTTTTAATCTCTTGCATACCCTCCTGGGTAGTGTTTACTTGAGGGTTACTTTTAATCTCTAGTGTATACCAGAGGGTTATTTTTATCTCTCCTATACCCTCTTGGGTAGTGTATACCTGAGGGTTATTTTTACTCTCTTCTTTACTCTCTTGGGTAGTGTATACCTGAGGGTTATTTTAATCTCTCTTATACCCTCTTGGGTAGTGTATACCTGATGGTTATTTTTAAGATCCTCTTTACCCTCCTCACAGTACGACAGTCGCGTTAGACGGTATTCATAAGTGTAAATTTGTTCACAATGACCTAAAATGCAACAACGTTGTTTTAGAGAAACGTGAAGAATAGCTTCTACCTTTTTATAGTCCGATTTTGGCAAGAGTGTTGTCTTCGGAAAAGAAAAAAATACCGTTCCAAAACCTCGCACTGAAAAGGCCATTAGAGGAATCGTTGCATTGTGCCGAAGCTTGTAGACGGAACAGGGAGACCGTCAGTTGAAAGCGATGTGTCAGATGTGTATTCTCTGGATTATCTGATCAACACAGTTTCTGGACTTTAAAAGTTGAAAACCATGTCCTGTATAAAGAAGGGTCAGTTAGCCTTAAACAGGCCTAGGCTTTCGATCATGAAGGTGAAATCAGCTTTACCGGTGCCGCTTTTTAGGCTATTTTGAGTCTCTTCTTTGTACGTGTTTTAAATTGTTCCTGTCTCATGTTGCTGTAACATTTGGTAAGGACTTCTTGTGGACCTTGTGTTAACGATTTATTGTTGTCTTCTTTAAGACATGCACTGTTTCCACAAAGAAAAAAGCTCGGCGTACCGCCCTATAAGTTAATTCGAACTAGACCCGTTAAGTTTGTTTGAGGCATTTCTCTGGACTCTTGTTTCTGGACAATGAGCGAACAAAAAGTCGAGTTGTATCTGGAAAATGGCTTGAAATGTAATAATCGGAAGTTGCGGTTTTTTTCAATTTTATTCGAGGGGAGCTTTATTAACTATCGGATGTGCTGGAATGTTCAGCGAACACTTCATACCACCGAGAGGTTCAAACCTTGGCATGGATTACCTATGCATAAATTAAATTTGCATAAAATATTTTTTCGGCGCTAGCTCGTCATGATCACTATAATATAAATTTTTCTTAATAACCCAGTTGAAGACTTCAAAACACAGCTAAAGGAAGTAATTCCAATCATTTACTTTTTTTTATACAGAAACTTCAGTTCCCAAGTGGCTTTTCCCGTTTGCACAAGCTGTTGGTGCACAATCAAGAGTTTCATCATTTGCTGCGATCTGGCGTCCTAAGTCTTTCACCTTTTCAAGAAGTACTGCAGTAGGTCCGGAATTGACCTGTACTGTGCCTGACTTCCCTGATGTCAATGTCCAAATTCCTCAGAGTTGTGTTCCTGTTTATCAAGATTTTTTTTTGACAATCAAGGTACATGGAACTATAACATTCTATACATGCATAAGTCCTGCAACTTTTTCATTTTCCAGTTTTGAAAGTTATGAGATTGGTGTGAGGGGCTTGTCAAAAGCAAGAAGACAAAACAAAGGTGTTATATGAGTACAGCTTATACACTCAGTTACTTGCAATACACGCCATGAATTCGGTGGCAAAATTGATGGAAAGAGGGATATTAATTAACAATTAAGCTAAATACAGAACAGCGTTGCATGTGCTTCCATGTGTGTGAAGATACATATAGTAATGTTCTAATCAATAGTTTTCGTAACTTCGAACTATTTTTGGTACTACTGTCTCCAAATTTATTCATGGATCCTGGCAATTCCCTTTTTAAAGAGTAGATTTTGGAAAACTCAGTTTAAGCAACAAACAGAACTTTTGTTTTTGTTTTGCTTCAATAAAAATGTCAAATTGAAATCATTCCTGTCAGGTAAATTAGCTTTGCGGTTTGTATTAGTTTTCAATTAACGCAATTACTGGATGAAGTTGAGCATGATATCATAATGAATTAGCAAAACCAAGGTCTGAGTTATTTGCCCAAGACGAACATAACACAGACATAAGGTTTCATGAGTTATGATATCATGAAAAAACCAAATTAAATTATTATTTTATTATACATCTATTAAAAAAACTGCAAAAGAAGACACCTCTCTAAATTTGCAAAAGTTGAAGAATACTTCACAAACAGTCAGGGCTTGGAAACTAAGCAGAGGTTGAATTCGACGTGATAACTGCAATATCTGCAGCAGATATTGGGTTATTATGTTAACTTCACACTTTACTGCAAATTGATTGAGTGCTTTTGACCAATCAGACTTTTTATATTAAGTCCAATGTATACATTTGTTCATGATAATGCTTATATTGCTACATAAAACTGTAAGAGGGTATTTACATTGTGTACTATAATTTTAGGTAATTTTAAGATTTCATCCTGAAATTCACTTTTCACAATGTAAAGCAAATGAACTTTATGCTGGGAGTAGTTGAACATGTCCAACATAACTTGTTTTGCTTTTAAATCCAGGTACAAGAATTCCCAAGCAGTGAGCTAAAAGGAGAGGGCGGACTTGTCGGTCCAGTTCTTGACATTTCAGGCTCTCAAAATGTTACTCTTAACGCGCCTGTAACAATCAGGATTCCTCTCACCCTCCGTAAAGGAAAACAAGAGTTGGCAGAGTTATGTCCTGGTGAACTGAGGATATTATACTGTGAGTCCCTGGTTGAACCACATGAGTGGAAAGACATTACAGATCAATTGGATGAACAGCCACGTCTTGTAGATGGGAAAGTGCAATTCAAAGTTAGGCATTTCTCTAGGTAAGTATTTATTGTCGGCTTTATTTGAAAAATATAACGCAAGACCTAAAGGAAATTTAACACTATTATAGTGTACAGTCATACGAGCATATATTTCTGTTAGTTAAATATCGATTCAATAATTGAAATGATCACCCAATAGGAAGACCCAAGATTATTGTGCAATGGCTGATAATCATTTCCGTTGGGTTGCTTGAACTTTAATTGGTTTTTCCTTTTCTTTTTTTTTTGATAGACTCCGTCCAATCAAGTTGATCAGATCACTTTTACAATCTACTTCAGGCTTCACTGAGTTTGTAGGAAAACTTTGCAGTAGGTCTAGGCCTCAGTATGCCCGATTTTTTACGTGCTTGTGTAAGACCACTGTTCCTGGACATTTTGAGCTCAAACTTTTCTGCTATCCTCCAAGACTGCAATATGATGTAAAACAGCTAATATCAGAGTTTGTCGTACCCTACAAAGGCGGAGGCACCTCTTATAAACCAGTCTGTGAAGAAGAGAAAATTTTGGTGTCACTTTCTGAGGCAATCATACCCCAAGGCACAGACGAGAAAAACGCCTTACAATTTGTGAGGTATCATATGATAGAATTTATTTTTGGCCCATTTAGTAGACATGATTTAATTGAATACTTTTAGATACGGTCATGCTAGTTTTGCATAGAAATCAGTCATTCATTCTATTGTAAAATAGTACATGCTTCAATTCTTAATTAACCATTTTTCGCCATGGCTATTCTAAGTTTCTTGTCGATCAATAGGGCCATGGAGGTATACATGTTGGTTTTGTTTTGGCGCGATTGTCTTCAAATGCTCGTTTTTAAAGATTTAGGAGGGCTCTTATCAAAAGTGCTGTATTTTCGATTGTAAGAAAAGATTTCAAAGGGTATGCTTTCCTAGAGGAAGACTCGGCTGGTGAAGTGTACGTTGGGTTTGTCTCATTTAAATTCATTTCATTTTTTACAGATTCCGTGAGAACGAAGTTTTTTACTCAGGTGTTGAAGTCTGCTTAGGAAGTGACAGCGTTCCAAAATTGAAGTTTTTCGACCAAAGTCGTGAACTTTTATGCAACATGAACATAGTATTAGCGTCTCAAGTAAGTGAAATTTTACGGTTTGTGGATTTGCTTATTAAATGCACTTTTAGCCCAGAGCTAATATAGTACTGATGCCAACCTTACTATAGTAGATGACTGTGAACTAAAATGATTAGTGGCGCTGTAACCACAGGCAGTCCAAGCTCCGGTCGTGAGATGATCATCTTGCAAAATAAGAGTCATGGCGGAAATTTGAGCTTTTATGGAAATAATTATCACCGCTCTTTGGAAGTAAAAAGACAGTCAAATTCTCAAAAATAATACCTCACCTTAATTCCAAAGTGCATTGCTTGTTGTCTGACGGCTTGCTATGTTGAAAAAAAAACATTTTAGCGAGTTATCCATTTCTAGGTTTCCTTCTCCCAGGAGTAGTAAACCTAGTTTCTGAGTAAGATAATGAGGTCATTCTAAGGCGGCACGAAACTTATTGGGGACAAATCACTGGAAACAAAAGACTGAGGGATGTCGAATAGGTAAAGAAACCTCCTGCCCACAGGAAACAGTACATGAACATACAGGACCTTGCAAGTTTTTGATTTAGTGTACCACTTCTACTTTTCAGTTGCTTTAAAGTCACTTTCTATGCCTCTGCCTTTTTTCCTAATTATTTTTCCTTTTTCTTATTATTCAGTAATTTTCTTCATTTCCTCATTTCTATTCACTTAATACGTACCCGTAATATTGCGAATTTTCCCTGCTCCATTTAGGTTCCCTCTCTTGTTACCTTTGATCATGAAGAAGGAGGTGGTAAGTTATTGTTTTTGTCATTGGTTTCGTTGTTGTTCGAATAAATAAAATTTACTAGACCAGTCATCATTGTTGTAAAATATTTAAACTCAGGAATGCAGGCTCTGTGGGTTTTGAAAACGTAGCATTTAGTGACAGAGCAACGAGTTCTCAACACAAAGTCATGATAATTTGCCTTACTTCATGTGTTCATATATTGGAGCATGCCCAAATCACACTCGAGAGTGATGGCTTATTGTCTGTTACGTATCAGTAAACTCAAGGTACGTGTGTCTTTCCTTGTAAGGAATTTGATAGCCCAGAGTGTGAAACTTTCAATTGTAAAGCATTCAAATGTAGAATCATCGTCATGCAGCCTTGTTGCGGCTACAAGGAAGAAGATACGCCAATCTGCAAGTAGTACCGAGATTGAAAATGTTGCGATGGATTTTCCTTTTTATTATATTTTTATCAAGTTTGCATATTGCTGTTACACGTTTATCTACAGTGAAATTATTTCTATGCAGAAAGACTGGCATTGTTTTTACGGTATAATCTAACCGACAGAAAAACACTACAATCCCACAAACTCAACTACTTTATTAAACAGCGAGCAATGTTCTTACCAAGGAGCGACTTCTGAAAGCATTATTGTTAATAAGCTTAATTAAGCCCACCATAGTTTATACCCTAGCTCACCACTAACACAATCTCACTGCTGCCTCCAAAGCTCCTTGAAATGAGCAATCTTCTGCAGTAACTCTCTCTCGGTGTAGCTTTCAAAACAGTCGTCGCTCCGACAACAAGAACTACCTCTATTACTACATAAGTGAGTTTTTATACATATATATATATATATATATATATATATATATATATATATATATATATATATATATATATTCACAAAGCGTTCTGGAACATTCCAGAAGCTTACGTGCCGGAACTATTTTAGAAGTGTTACCGAATAAATGTGTTCCGGAAAGTTGTCTGGTCTGCAAGTCAGCACGACTCAGCAGTCTGGAAATTTCTAGAAGCTTATATTTGCAACAATTACTGATAACATTATATTTACTAGACATCCTCTCTACCTAGTTATATTGTGAAAAAAATAAAAAATAACGAATAAAAACTGGGCGCTATCACTAAACCAACACCCGTGTATCGTAAGCAACTATCACCTATTCCAGCATTAGTGGCTGGAGACTGGTTAGGAGTCGTTATTAATGACCTTCATTTTCAAGTTGATTGTCAGGCCATATGCCATAACACTTGGGCTAGTTCTCCACCCAGCCATCTCATTAACTTCATTATTATGCAGATATTTGCGCCCAAAGTGTGAAACATTCAACTGTAGAGCATTCAAATGTAGAATCGTCGTCATGCAGCCCTGTTGCGGCTACTAGGAAGAGGAAACGGCAATCTGCAGGTAGTACCAACATTGAAATGTTGCGATGGATTTTCCTTTTTATTGTACTTTATCAAGTTTGCATATTGCTGTTACACGTTTATCTATGGTAAAATATTTTGCGGAAAGACTGGGATTATATTTATAAGACATTCTTTACCCCTCGTTATAATGCGAATATTATAAAAAAATAATGAATTAAAACTGGGCGCTATCACTAATTCAACACCTGTATATCTTGAACAACTATCACCTATTCCAACATTAGCGGCTGGAGACTAGCTAGGAGACTTTGTTAATGACCTCTATTTTCAAGGTGATTTTCAGGTCATACGCCATATAACCTGCGTTAGTGCTCAACCCTGCCATCTTATTAACTCCATTATTATGCAGATATTTGCGCCCAAAGTGTGAAACATTCAACTGTAAAGCATTCAAATGTGGAATCATCGTCACGTAGCCCTGTTGTGGTTCCTAGGAGGAGGAAACGGCAATCTGCAGGTAGTACCGAGACTGAAAATGTTGCGATGGATTTTCTTTTTTATTTTTATTATTATCAAGTTTTCATATTGTTGTTACACGTTTATCTATGATGATATTTGCTTATGCAGAAAGACTGACATTATATTACTTGGACGTCCTTTACACCTCGTTAAAATGCGAATTGAAACAGGGCGCTATCACTCATCCAACACCCGTGCATTTTGAACAACTATCACCTATTTCAGCATTAGCGGCTGGAGACTAGCTAGGAGACGTTGTTAATGAGTCTGGAAAATTTCTGAGCGTTTTTTTTTTTTTTTTTTTTTTTTTTTAAGAGGTGGGAAAATGGTTCTCCTGCTTCTGCAAATATCCCTTCGCTTAAGCCTGACAGTCTTCAAGGCCAACGATTCGGTATTGATTGATACCCAAAAGACAAGTCGCCTTTCGCCACAACTGTTCACCATTCGCCAAAGCCCTGATGCACCTTTCTAATTTTTCCTTCTCCTCCCATTATTATCCTCAGATTTGATTAAGGCTGATGGACCATCAGCTGACGAGTTAGAAGATCTGTCTCTGGAACTTGGAGAAAAATGGGAGGAATTAGGTAGACGCCTGGGATTCAATCAAGCTGCGATAAGTAACTTTGATGAAGCTAAAAGGAGGCTGGCAAAGAAGGCTTTTGAAATGTTAATCGCTTGGAAACAAAAGGAAGGCTCAAATGCCACATATAAAGTTTTGTACGATGCCCTTTGTAACAAAAAGGTGCAATGCAAACTTCTTGCAGAACAGTTTTGTTGCGATAAGATTGTAGGAAATGCCTCTGCTTAGTGATATGTTATAAAGACTGAGTCTTTTCTGTCTTACATCATACGTCTTTGTGAGTAATTCAAAGCCAAAGAGCGTCTGTATCGAGAATTCGCGCTTAGTAAGTACGTCATTCATTTTCCTTGCGCTTGAAGATGGGGAAAGAATAGATATTTACTCGTGTTTTTGCACCCAAGAACCGCTGGCTAAAGAGCCTTGAGGTCGGAATTCACTCAGATATTTAGAAAGACAAAGCTGAATAACGTTTGCATATGTGCTAGGCTTTGGCGAGGAAAACGGATTTTGAGTCACGTGCACGTTCGATTTTCTATGCTATAATTTCAGGGCGTAGTTTCCTTGCTGCTTTTCTCTACTTCCAAAAACTTTGTACACCCTCTAGATATTTTCAACTTAATTTTCGTCTTAAAAGCACTGGAAACAGGAAAATGCTTACAACGACAACAAAATGCCAGCCCTATCTTTGTCCGCAAATTTCGCTGAATTTTAACCTCGAACGCGGATTGACCGCGTAGCTGTAACGTAGCATTTCGTTATTCAGCTCTGTTGTCTAGAAAATGTAACGCACATTACCACCCTCAAGCATCTTATTTCATACCTCACAGCTTAAAATTCGAATGGATTTTCTCGTTTTTATTCTCAGTGCATTTCTTAAGGAACAGACATGGAGATGTAGTTTAATAATCAACAGCTTCTTTAGGTGGTGGTCAGTTACTATGCTCTCGTGTTCTTAATTTTTAATTCAGGTTGACAGCGGAAGGAAAATTAGATGCTTGGCACCGTTTGAGTTGACTTTATCGTTTGTGGTCAGCTTGAAGTAACAGCATAATTTTGCATAGAGTGAGATTCCCCTTGTCTCAGTGTGGTGGATAAGCATAAAACGTGTAACGGCCTTAGAATAAAATTTGTAGATACTGAGCTGCCATATTGTTCTTTAAAAGTGTGAAAGGTCAACAAAAATTAAATACGCAACTTTTCTTCCACAGGCTTAACTACCATGACTGTTTGTAGCGTGTTTGTTAATTTCTGTTTAGATTGAATGAAACGACGGTAAATGACTTCGAATTAAGATCTAGATATCACCGGTCGATTGAAGGGTTTACACGCGAGATCAGTAGTCAGGGAAGAAATATGCCAGAATCGTATTGGCATCTCTTGAATCTTCTCTTGATGTCGCTATTTATGACTGTTTACTTCAACGGTTTTTTCTCTAACGTGTCAAACTCCTCTGATAAGCGTAGAAAATTAAAAAGAAAAGTCACTTTTCAACTCGTGTCGATGTTTAAATTCTCCTCTTTCAACCACTCCGGCTGGAAAGACCTCTGCTGTAACTGCATATCGGTGTAAATTTCTTTAAACCAACTGTTCTCTATCTTGGCAACTCTAGCCATTGAAATTCTAAATTTGTCCACCATCTGTTTCTTACGGTGCGAAAGTTAGATTTTAACGAAGACAAGCTTGAACTAGAATATCTTTGTGCATCACAGAAACTGATCCAGACATCAATGAAGTTTTATATTTAGTTTTAAAGTTGAGTCGATGTTGTTATTGAGCCATGAAAGAGATTCAAAAGTCTGATATGGTAGCCTCTATGAAATTCTGTCCTGGAAACTGGAGTTGTGGCAACATCACGGTTACCATGAAAACCAACAATACATTTTATTGACCTGAAAAAGTATTCATTTGACCATCTACTAACACTTTCACTGGTTCACTCTCTCAAAATTTTAACATAAGAGGTTTTAAAAGGCTTGGGTATTAGTTAAAATTGGCCAACTTGATGCAACAACTCAGGTTATACATTGAATGCACACTTTTTTAAACATTTTTTCATTAATGCAGTTACTTGCTAGCAAAACATTATAATACATTTCAATTCAACCATTTTCTTACGAACACCATTATGAAATAATTATGCAGATACCCTGGCTAAATAGAAAAACGGTTAGTATATACAACACATGTCTTAAAAGCCACCTTCAGACTAAGCGAGCGGCATCAAGAAAGGTGTGTAAGGGAACAGGGTCGCTTACTTCTGTCACTCATTTGCTTCTCACACCTGTTGCGGACGAGTTCATGTGGCTGGGCTTTCAGGGCGAGGGACTGAGGATTTTAGCAAGCCATTAGATTTAAGGGAAATGTTAATGAGGAGAGTGACTGTTTTTGGAGCCTAGAAAATATCATTGTGTAAAGCCATACAGATACTAGCAAACTCATTCTTATAAACTAGTAGAGGAAGGATACAATATTTTACTTTATAGATTTGATTCACAGGCTGTGCACAAAAATTAAATTGGGCTATTAGAACTAAAATCCCTAAGGAATGATAAAACGTAGCCGGGTTAACATTGAAGTCGCCTCAAGCGCTCAAGTCGTTGTTTTCAAATGTCGGATTTTTTTGCGAATACAAGAACGTGTATAGTATAAAGACCAGTATCTTAGACAATGGCTCCGAGAAACCGAATTAAGTACAAAGATAATAGGGTTATACTGCAAAAATGACTGAGATCGTTGCAAAAATGGTTGCGGCAAGGATGCGTTATTACCAGAAATAGAAGGAATGGGCGCGGTTTGCCCCAGATGGCCAATACTGAGACGGACTTAAAACAACAAAATAAATTTAACAACCGGGCAAACGAAGTCAGGTTGAAAAGTTTTTTTCCGCACAAGCAATTCACACCAAGTTTACTGCAATCGTGGCAATTATTCGATGAACCATGTTTTCAATAAAAGTTTCTCATCTGCCGCAACCTTGTTCCAGTTTTTTTTTTCGGTTTTCCTCCAGGAGAGGCGAAATCCTGCTGTGAGAAGAATAAATTTCGCAACTAATTGACAACTGACAAAATTTAAAAAATCAACCATTCACATTATTTTTCGTCCATAAGTTTCCAACATTTTGGTTTTTGCAGAATTTTGTAAGCGTGTCTAAGAAAGCCATAAGGTCTGTTTGTTTGATTGTTTGCTGGTACGTATCATAAAGACAAGTGATTCTCAACTTCCGGTTGTAGCCCAATTCACTTCCGCTTTGTTGCTCCCAGCAAAGTTGAAACCACTCAGATTGGGGACTTGTCAGAAATTAGCAGGGGGGGAGGGGGGGTGGAAACAGAGGAGAGGGTCGCAACTTTTTGAGCCTCAGAAAAGGGAGGGGTCATGAAAAATAGGCAGTTAAAAGGGGGAGGGTCATGCAAAAATATGTGCCCGTGATCATGTAGAGGTTCACCCACAGAAGAAAAAGGAAGTTCTTTATTTGGCAAAAAAAAGAGAAAAATACAACGGTTTACGGAACGTTATGGATATAAACTGTGAAGTACTATAGCAAGAATTTAACAAACATGTACTTTTCATTTATAACAATGCTATATAATAAAATGTATGTATGTAGCATGACAAAGAACAGATTAGAAATATATTTTGAGTTTTCATAATACTGACGCACCCTGGTGTATTGCAAGAACTAGATTTTATCATTTATACAAGAGGGGGAGGGTCATGATATTTTAGGCCAAGCTCAAGGGGAGGGTTAGCAAATTTCACTCCCATTGCAGGGATGGGTCACCTAATTTCCGAACCCAAATTTAAAATTCCCACCCCCCCTCCCACCCTGCTAATTTCTGACAAGTCCCTTACTCGGGATACATTGTGCGCTGTTAAAGATGGCGGACAAATGAAAATGAAAATTTGCCCGAAACAATCAGCTCCAAGGGAAAAGAGTACAGAAGAATCTCAGGTTTTGCGAAGCCTCTTGCTGACCGCAAAATAGAGGTAAGATTTTAGTCGACTCATCGTGTTCAGTACGCTGAAGTAGTGCGTGTAGTGAACACAAGGATATGTACGTTTTAACAAAGTCAGCTTCAAGATTGTTCAAGACTTGGTTATTCAGATGCCGGTACACGTTGCTGCTAGGGATTGTAGGTAGGGATTGTTCCAGTTTATGCTTACATTTCTTTTTCTGAGTATTGCTCGTATTAATCTTAATCGTGACAAATTACTTAATAGGAATGTTATTTTAAACCTAGAATAAAAACATGACATCGAAGGCACGTGAGGTTTGGTTTGTTTCTTTATAACCCTTTAACCCTAAGATCTAATTGTTAAATCTCCCCTCTAGCTGCTACATATTGTCTTGTAAATAAGTTGTAAGAATTTGTTGTTAAATCAGCATAACAACTTTTCCCTGATAAGCTCTAGGATTCTTGTTACCTGTTTGCTGGATAATGTGAGGATATTATCAGGAGAAGTTTCATGTTAATCACTTCTGGGAGTTAAATGGCTAATTAAGCTTACATAGTGCTAAGGATTTACTTATGTTTTTCTCCATAGAAAAATAGCAGTTATGTGTAGTTGCTGCTTAAAATGAATTCTTCAGGACAAATTTATCTTCAGGTTTTTTTTATTTATTGTTTTTCTTGTTTTGCTTTATTTTGTTTCAATTTACCCTTCAGCATAATGCAACTTGTGGTGAAATTAATTAAGTGCAGAATGGATTCTTTGGTTCACCACTGAAATGAAACAAAAAAAGTTTAGTCAAAGTCATATTTTATTTTTGATTACAACTTATTAAATGGTCGCAGTGTGATAAAGGAGTGAAAAGAGTAACACTAAAGAGTAGTCACATGTCAGCTGTTAAAGCACTATGGTGGTGTGATCTCTGGGAAGATTTGTTTGCTGCTGCACTTTAGGATTACAGAGAGTAACTTAACTGTTTAATATGTGTCTTCTTCTGAAATTTTGCCCCCTTATGTGACTTAATTAAAAGAAAGAAGGAAACTTTTAAGAGATGAATGAAATGCATTGTTGCTGCAAAAATCACATTGACATAATTTATTTTAAATTCATATAGTTTCTTCTTTCCATTGCATTTTTATTAAGCTATTTTGTTTTCAAGTCTGTTACTTTCATATATTTTTTTTTAATTAAAAAAATTTAGCCATTCATAAGATTAATTTTTTTCTTTCCTAAGTTTCCTATATTCTAGGCTTTGCAGAATTTTGTAAGTCAGAGTGTTT